AGCAGCCCTAGAATGCTGTTAGTTGAGCTCCACGGGAGATTCTGGTCGGAGCTCAGAACAGAATGCAGACAGTAATGCAGCTGGTAAAGACCAGACTCGAGGGGTTTCCACTGGGAAGAACTCCGTTGCTCCATTGGCAGTTGGAGGCCATGTGTGTTATGCTCTGGCAGCAAATGTGTCTACATTTTGCTCATGTCTAGAGGCTTTGCAGGAGATTGAGATTAATGGCAGTGAACTAATTTACCTGATGGAAGAAATTTTATAGCAGCCCAACATTTAGGTGTTGGCTGGCTTTCAGCCTGCTCTACCTTGAGAATCAAGAGCAAAGGGCACAACTGAATGATTTAAAAAGTTTTGAGTTTGGCTAGAAAGGAAGCTTTAGTAAAACAGGGGCCTACAAAGATGGAGTCGAGGAAAGCTTGGATGCTGACAAGATTAGCATTAAAGAAAAATCAAATACTTTGGAACAGGGCAAGAGAAAAAATGGCTTAAGTGCATGTGAGGAACTATTGGGGCCTGCAGGGTCAAAATTGCAAAAGTGAAACACTGCTTTGAGAAGACAGCCTCGGGACACTCTGTTGGAGAAAGGCCTCCTAGGAAATTGATTCCCCGGGGGATTCAGTTTGTCTGGCTCAGCCTTCCAGGTACTTGCAGCCTCTGGCATAACACAAATGGGCTCAGCTACTTCTCCAGCTGGTGGCAGACCTTGGTGTCATCGAGGTGCGCAGAATGCAAAAATTGTGGGATCAGGGAGGCTTCCACATGGATTTCAGAAGGCTGGGAGACCAGGCATTGTGCCCATGGAGTGCAGCTTGTGAAACTGTGAGGGTAAAGCTGAAAGTACAGTGGAGACCCCAGGAATTTGGAGATGTCAGAAACATGCAATGTCTGAGGAAAGCCACAGTAGAGAGCAAAACCAGCCCAAGAGAGAAGCCACGAGGGCTTAACTGCTAGGACTTTGGCAACTCTTTGAGATGGACTAAATGCATTTTGGCATAGAGATGTGCATGAGTCTTTTGGGGTCCAAGGGCAGAATGTTATGGTTTCTATCCAGATGTCTCCCCCAAAGCCTCATGCACTTATAGGTGGGGCTTTGGGGAGGTGACTGGATTATGGGAGTGTGATGCTCATCAGTGGATTAGTCTACTGGTGAGTTCATAGCTAAATGCTGAGAGGTGAGGCCTGGCCCAAGGAGGTGGGTCCCTGGCGGCGTGGCCTGGAAGGGTATTATCTTCCTCCCTCCTCCTCTGATCTCTGCTTCCTGACTGCCTTGCTGTTTTTCTTTTGTGGTGCCCCTGTACACCCTGCCACAGAGCCAGCTATGGACTGAAATCTCTACAAATTGTGAGCCAAAATAAACCTCTCCTCCTTCAAACAAAATGAAACACAACAAAACAAATACAGGAGGGATTTAGCCAGTCATCTGGAGTGCTCCATCAATAAACTATTAGTATTTTATAGCCACATACAGTCATTTTTTAGCCTGCAGCCTACTACTATATTGTAGTATAAAACAGAGAGGTTTTCCGGAGAAGGCTCCTTTTTAAAGGCTGGCTTCAGTCTTCTCCCAACCCCCTTCCACCCGCCAGCCTCTGAAGGAGTCATGTGGTTAAGTCCTGGCCAGATGTCATTTTGTGTTTTTCTGAGATGACATCCAGAGATAACATCCAGGCTGGAGCAAACTGCTGAGATCTAACAAGCCAGTATCTTACTGTCACACCGAGGGGAAACTAGGGGAAGAGGGGAGGTTATTACATTTTGCCTCAAACAAAATAAATTGAAGCCCTGATCAGAAACTACTTATTGTTTCCATGCTGTTGCAGATGGTGAAATCCAGATATGGCCACTGAAAAAGGCACAGAGAGTAATCGTGTTTACCTAGGATTATTTACTATTTAATGCAGTTACTGTCCTGTTCCTGACTCCTCCACCCCAAGCTGAGTCCTGGTGTTGTATTAGTTAATTGAGACACTGGGTAATACACAGAAAGTTTATTTAGTCTCTCAGTTGTAGAGGCTGGGAAGTCCAAGATTGGGTATTGTTACCTGGTGAGGGCCTTGGCTGGGAAGATGCAAAACATGAGGTGTCCTTACTTTGTAACAACTCATTTTTAGAGTGTCTAATTCAGTCCCATCAGAATTAACCTTGCCCCTTGGGAATTAATCCAGTCCCAATGTGAGTCGTGCAGCCATGACCTGAGCACGTTCTCCTAGGCCCCACCTCCCAACAGTGCTGCTTCAAGGAGTCAAGGTTCCAACCACAGCCCTTTGGAAGATACACTCAGGTAACAAGGCACTAAACTCTCTTTTGAAGCAGGTACGGCTCATAAACAGCAAATAAAATATTTCAAGAGTGCTCTAGGTTACAGGTTTATGCTGGGTTGTCTAGTTTTCTGGGTTGAACTTAAAAGACTTCCTGTTGGCTGTTACCAGAAAAACGAGGGTCACAGTTTTAGGGGTGAGTTAACTCTTTTGGTGCACCTCCTGGTTATGTCTATTTTTCTTCCCCTTCATCCACAGTGATTGCCCAACCAAAGAATGATTTATTTTGAAACCTCTAAGGTATTTTTACGTGGCTCTTTAAGTTTTGTTCCTGGTGAGCACTGCCTGTATAGTAACCACACGATCATATTTCATATTCTGATGGTTTTATTAACAAGTATATAATACATATATTGCATACTGTATATAGAATGAGGACTGTACAGTACAAATTTATGTTCACAGTTTGACATGACAAAATGTCATTACTCAATTCCCATTGGACTACAGAGTAGAAACAGAGAAGGTACATTAAACATTCACATCTTTAGTAAGAAAGATTACCAAAATGTTTCAGTATTTGCAAGTATACTAATGCATGCTAAAAACCTTTACCCATTCAGTCTTATTAGCTTATAAAATATATTACACTTTATTAAAAATTTCTGCATAGTTTATACAAGTATTAAAGTACTGTAAATGTAATAATCCTGCTATACTTGCAGGTATGGTTTAAGAGATGCTAAGCAGAAAGATTATTTTGACCCTCTAACACTAAGTACATAACAGAAAAAAAGTGCTAGTATTTGTAAAACATGGTGTAGCCCTCGTTTAATGCATGTAAAATGGCTTTGTAAATGTATTAAGTGAATTTGCAATCATTTAGAAATTGTTAACCTTGACAAAGAAGAGAATAAAGACGACGCTGAGTTCACAAATGACAGCAAGACAACTATGTATTTTCTAACCAAATTATTTTAAAACCTTAGATCTTTGAGATTGTCTTTAAAACAATCTATAATCAGGAATGATGGGCAGACATCCAATATCAGCAATATAGTCTTTCAAATCCCACATTAGTGCAATACTGATAGTGCAGATGGGTGTTTAATAAAACTTACATATACATATATAGTTCCTTTGTAATTGTTCCAAGGCTCTTGAAACTGCTGTGTATTTAGCATCTCCTTAGCTGAATGTAGCTCTGCTGCATATACATTCTCAAAACCAAGCAATTCAGAATGTTAATGCCCATTTTATGATGTAGATTCACATTTTAAAACTCTGAAATAGGATGGATTCAGATTTAATTTTTATGACTTCGCCAAGATGACATTTGAGCAATAATTGAATAAACTAATGAACAATTTACATGACACAAACTTCATGTTTATAAATCATTCTCAGAAATTTAAAATAGTGCGATTAATCACCATTGATAGTAACATGGCACATCATTAAAACCACAATCTTCAAGGGCATCTTATCTCCTATCTGAGGTCTTCCACAATAACAGCTAAAATGACTAAGAGACTAAATTTCTCAACTATCATAGTAAAATACAAATATATATATATATCTATATAAAAGGAAAATTTGGTAGGGGCCAATTGGTAGCTAAAAAATAGACTAGCAAAGAAATAGAGAATGGCCTCTCTGGGTTGATTTTTCTCTCAGAGTTAAAAATGGATCTTTGTTAATGAACTGCTAACATGATCTAAGCAAGCTTAGTAGTAGCATAATACAGTTTTTTGAACAAGATTTAAATATACCATAGCATACATCAACTTTCATGAGAACTCTTGAAGCTATAAATTGCACTCCAGACTCAAAACTCAATCCAAAATCAATTCTGTCCTTTTTTGTCCCTTTCCCCTTTGATATGGGTTGGAATAGTTATTTCCACCCAAACAAAAACATTCCTTGCTTGCCTCAATTCTTCAGAATCCTTCAAAGACACGAACACTTTGGCATGAAGTGACTAAGCATTGACAATATAGACAATACCTGCTTTTCTAAGAGCCGTTCCTATTCCTCAATTTATATTACAGATGCACAAAAGAAAAAAACAGCCCAAATAGCATGTTATAGTCTTTAAAAATTTTGTAGTGCTAAGAAAAAAAAAAAAAAAAGGAAACCCAAGTGCCAAGTTGACAAATTTCTTTACATTTCTCACCTACATTTCCTTTCAGCTGGTTCACAGGGCTCAGTGGGACCTCTTAGGTGTGCAGTCCCTGTAACTTTTAACCCAGCACCACCAAAGCAAGCTCCCCACACAATCTGCAGGTCTCCAGTCACTCATTCGCTGATTTTTAAAAACTTAAATCGTGTATTCCTCCCAGCTAGGGCTGTATTGGATCCTGAGTTGAGGCTGGGACGGATCTGCAGGATTCCATTCTTCTCTCTCCCGCTCCTCCATCCTTCATGGAGGAATGAAGGGGCATTCGGTTACATGCAACCACGTGACCACCACTGCCCGTTTTCTTCAAACTTGAGACCAGTGGCATTTCTCTGTATGAATTATTTTTACTGGCATTTAGACTACGGTGTTCAAAAGCCTGCTTTTGAAAAACTTCCCCCATTAATGGTGTTATCTTCAACATAAACACGAGTCATTTTTTGTTTGTTCTTCTGACAGGATACTTGATAGTGATGGGAAGTAACTAACTCCAACAGTAAACTTCTGGGAATATTCAAGCTACATATATAAATCCCTGAACTGTGGTTTTCTATATTTTTTTCAGAAACCTGCCCCTAAAATAAAGGTGTATGTGCTTCACAACTAGTCATATTTACAAAGACTGCTACTCAGGTCTTACTTGAACAAATGTCCTTAAGCTTTAGCAGATGCTAATTTATGACGTGTGTCATAAACACAAATGACAACCAGTCTGGCACCTTACTAACTTACACTGAAGTTTCATGTAAAAGCTATGCGATTAATTTGATATGGGAAAACAAGTACCACTCAACATTACCTCGCTTACAAAGTTACAGAAGTTGGGTAAAAGCAAGAGTATACATACTTTTACCCTAAGTATCTTTACTTTTTACTACTGGGCAAATATTTCTGTGGTTTTGTTACCCTCAACACTTGATGGTCCATACTAAGGATTCTGTAGGAATGGAGATCTGTGTGGATAACTCCATAGGGGTTTGGTGTTGCAGCATGTTTGCGCACAGCTGAGCACGCACAGAGACTGAAGCTCTCTGGTTAGCGCTGCAGAGCTAACCAAACGGTGACACCTCACTGACAAACCCCAGCTAGGAGCAACCAGCAGCTTCCTCCCATGCAGCCCCTGCTCCCTGCCCCTCTGCTTCTCCTACCAGGCTAGGCAAGTCCGGGATCTGTCCCTGCGAACTGCTATCTATCACCCACCTATTTAAGCAGCTCTGGCTCATCGAATGGTGGCAAAGCCCTCAATGTGGGCTTCAGGCACAAAGAAGGGCAAAGGCCTTAGATCAGATGAGATGATAATCCGGGTTGTGAAGCAAGATGTGTGAAGGACCATGGCAAGGTGACTGTACTGGCATGGTCCCCTGCTGCAAGTCTTGCTAACTGGTGAGTGGGGACCAAGCTTCTTTTTGCTGCCGAGCATAAAATGGGATCATGGTGAGAGGTGCGAGTATCTCTGGCAAGGACTAGCAGGCTAGATACTGTATTTCTAATACATTTACTTTGACATTCTTTTGAGGAATACATGGAGAAACTGACAATTGTTTATGTTAGTTTACATGTTCCCTTGTTCTCATTACATTAAACGTATCTGTAAGAAGGGTTTGCTTAGCATCCCCGGAAAAAAAAAAGTGTTCACATTCTTTAGGTCTGACCCGTGGTAAGGAGAGGGAGGATTAGAGAGTATCAGCTACTGACCATATGGAAGTTTTGAATGATATAAATTCAGAGGTTCAGACCAGCTGAACCAAAATTAAAATGTACATGTAAAAAATGAGTTAGATAACAGGAGGGAGGACAGAGAGAGCCAGGAGTGGGGAGTCGCGCTGAGGTGCGGGACGGAGGCTTTCAGACTAGCATGTGGCGTTTCCGATGGAGGGCAAGATGGTCAGAACGGGAGAAGCTGCGGTCACAGTCTGGACACTGGAAAGGTTTGATTCCAGTGTGTTTTCGGAAATGTCTTGTGAGTTCATCAGACCGAGCAAACTTCCATGTGCATCCTTCCCATGTACATTTGTAGGGTTTTTCTCCTGCAAAAAGAAAAAAACAAAACAAAATTTTTTTTGAAGACAGTTAAGGTTAAAATTTTAAGCTAATGTTCTTGAAAACTACTGTCTCCAAGATAAAGTCACACGTCCGTCCCTCAAAAATATAGTGCTTCATAAACCACTACAGGGCAAGCAAGAGAAAATGAAATTAAATCTTTTAATGTTTTAACTGACTCTCTGCCAACCCCCACCCCCCCATACCTACACTGTAGTCTTGATTTCCAGCTCTTTTTTGATTTTTGTATTGGGAATTGAATCCAGGGCCTTCATACTCAGCTATATCATGAGCCCTTTTTATTTATATTTTTAGAAGTTTTTCAGACAATGTCTTGCTAAGTTGCCAGGTGAGACCTGACCTTGTGATCTTCCTGCCTCAACTTCACAGAGTAACACTAAAGCCAGCTATCTCCAAGTCTTAATCCCACTCAGGAGCTTAATTATTTGTAGTACTACACTATACTATAAGTTCAAATTGAAAGTTTGTGGCATTTTCTAAAAATACGAAGTGTCTTATCAATTAAAATGTGTTAGGGAATTCAATATCCTATTTTATGTTTTAGTCAGTAATAATTATTCCTAAGCACGTTTTAAATGTGTAAGTACTAAAAACATAGTAATTCCTCCCCTTCTTTCAGAAGCCATGTCTTGGGCTGGGGATTTAGCTAAGTGGTTCTGGCACCTGCCTTGCAAGCGCAAGGACCCGAGTTCAATCCCTGGTACCAAAAGGAAAGAAAGAAAGAAAGAAAGAAAGAAAGGAAGGAAGGAAGGAAGGAAGGAAGGAAAAAAAAAAGAAGCCACATTTCTCCTACAAGACAATGTAATTTACAGGTTTGCAGCTGAAGGCCCTTGTGGGAAAATGGTAGGGAGGGCCAGCGCGAACACAAGCTCAGGCCAACGGCAGTGAGAGGAGAATTTCACACCAGAGCCTGAGGTGAGATAAACCACCTTTCAAAACACTTTTGTATGATTTCCTTAAGATGTTTTCCTACTAGAACATTCAGGAACATTGGTAGCGACTGCACATTTTCTCTACCTATGTAACAATGTCCCTATGCTCTGGCTGCTTACTGTATTTAATGCTGACCAAGATGGAAGATTTCCTAGAACAATTATAGTAGACAATGACATAGGAACTCTTTCAAATTTAAACATATTCACTTTATTTCCTTTAAGGATACTTCTATTTCAATTCTACTTGCATGAAACTATTCCGTTTTTTGGTTCTGCAGAAGAAATGGTCTTTGCTATCATAAATTTTATCATTACATACATTAAAAGAGAGCCCAGAGCAAGGCCACATCCCTGACAGTGAGAGCCCTCTCCCCTCCTCCCAAGCAGTGGAGGCTCCATCCCTTTCTCCCTCCTAACTGGAGAAGATGGAACTAAAAGGAGGCATGAGGGGTCTGGCTGGAGGGATACACTGATTCCATTTTTATCACTATAAAGGTTAATATTTATGAAAAACTACTCTTCACGACCAACACAGCCATTTTTAGATGACTATGACAACTTTTGAGATGCCTAGAAAACTTTCATTATTCACACCAAGTATCCCTTATCCCAAATGCTGGGAACTAGATGTGTTTCAGGTTTAATTTCTTCAGACTTTAAATCCAGAAATCCAAAGTGCTCCAAAAATCTAAAATTTTCCAACTGTTCTGTTGGTTCCCCTAAAGTTGAGTTTCAAAGCATTTTGGTTCAGATTAGGGCTGCTCAGCCTGTATCAATCTTTAAAAGCCAAAATGCTCACTTACACATTCTACACTAATACTTCTTAAGACAGATGAAGGCAGCTTGGGGTTTCTAATACCTGTATGTGTTCTTCTGTGTGCTTTCAAGTGGGAGCTTTTAGTGTACACTTTGTTGCATCCATCATAGTCGCATCTGTGTATCCTCCGCTTCCTTTGTGTGTCTGGGGATTCCACAGGCAAAGGTCTCTTCCCAGGCTGCACAATGACTGAAGGGTGATTCCTGTGAAGGCCAAGGTTAATGAAGAGTGTTAAGTGAAATGTTGCCTTTTCTTCAGTCTACTAAGAGCATTAACAACACTGGGCAAAACTAAACAAACAAAAAACCCCAACAAAATGAAAAGAAATTAGCCGATCAACCCGAGAAGCACTGCTATATTCATTCAACAAACATTTAGTGAGCACCTACCATGAGCCAGGCACTGTGCTTGGCAACCAGGACACAAAGATGAATAAAAACAGGGTTCCTGCCCTCGAGGAGCTCACACTCTAGGGGGAGACAGACATGGAGATAAGTAATGATATCAAGAAGGGTTAGGTGCTATGCTAGAAAAGAGGTGCTGAGTGCTGGGACAGGCTCTCTGCCACAGTAAAAACCTATTGCAGAACTTCACAGTACATGGAATGCTGGACACTAGACTATGCATTTCCATGCGCTGTACTTTCAAGATGGTTCTTTAGAAAAAAAAAATGCTACGTTGCAGGCAACCACATTACAGGTTGTATCTGTCTTTTGGCATTTATACACACTAAGTGGAATTTAGTTTCCATCTCTTAAAGACCATTGATTCATGTTTAATTTTCAAATTCTGGCTCTTTTGGCATTGCTGTCTTCACCAACTCGAGCCTTTACTGTCACTGCTGTATGAGGAAGAGCCCCAGTGTGGTCTTAGGGAGGCCAGGAAGCCTGTCACTCATGACAGCAGCTCCTGTCATGTGCCTGACATCTTTACTTTCCTGATTCCCTCAGAGTTCTGAATTTGGGCAATCTTCTAATGGCGAATCTGCATAAAATCCTGCCAGGTGTCATTACTATAAACTATCTTGTTCTGAAAAAGAAAGGTGGCAAAAATAAAAGGCAGAGTGGGAAAAGCATGCAGTATTTTCAGGCTTCCCTACTAATTAATACACATCATTAAAAAGTTCTAATCCATTCATTCATTCATTCACTTCTGGATGACTGATTACTTGCTATCTTACAAGTTTTTGTAGCTGGCCTCCAACTATAAAGACTTCTTTCTTGGCTGGATGTGGGGACACATGCCTATAATCCTAGCACTGCAGAGGCTGAGGCAGGAGGACTGCCCCAAGTTTGAGGCCAGCGTGGGATACACAGTGAGGGGGGAAAAAAAAGGAAAGGAAAGACTTTCTTTTTTAAATCACAAACTATAGCTCCTAAAATGTTCCCAAGTATATGAATGAGTGTGTAGAGGGAGAAGATTGGTATAAAGGAATATGACTACATGAGGCAGCTACTCAAGCTTATAAGACCAAAACAATTAAGTTCAGCTATGAAAATCAAAAGGGAGACCCTGAAATAAAACTTGCTTTTTATCTTGGTAAAAATTACAACACACATCCCTTGGTGATGACTTTTTCAAGCATGATAAGAAGCAAATAGAAAAAGGATGAAAGATGTGCCTATTTTAACTGACTTTACTTCTCACACTTCTATTAGTAAAGAGAACTGTTGGCTGAGTATCACTTTACCTTCCTGCTCTGGTGCCTGAAAGGGAGGACAGAATGATGAACCAATCCAGTTTAGAGACACAGAAAAGCGAACATGAAGAGGCAAGAACTTTAATTACATCTCTACAAATATAGAGAAGTCAAGAGTTTTACAGAATGATGGTTTTTAAAATGAAGCTTAAATTATTTTTTGTATTTTTAAAGATCATTTATAACCCTTTAGTAAAAAGAAAGCTATTATTTTACTTTTTAACTTTAGGAAATAAAACACTGAGAAAGAAATTTAAGGATTAATTTTATCTCGTAAATCTCTGGGATACTCAGATAGCATCCATCCCAGCAGTTTGCCCTCCGTAAAACAAAGATGACAATATCACCGCTTGAAGGCTCTTGTGAGAGACGGTGCCATCTTGGGTTGTTGTGAGTGCTGTACATGAAGCACCTACAATGCACAAATACAACTCAACAAGGCTATCTGATCCTGAAGCTTTTGTTCTAAAGACAGCTTCACGTGTAAATAAATAACAAAAACAATGAAAGGCATGTGATATTCCTTTGAGAGCCCTTAAAAATCAACCTAAAGCTCTACCTGTAGGATCAAGCAAATGGACTTCAAAGCTATAGTCTGCCTTTGAAAGGGAAGGAATTCCTGAGACAAGTGCTGCTGGGGCTGCCTCGCGGCAATGGGACTGGGCACTTAGTTCCAAGTGATGTTTTTCCTGGCTAGCTGGTTTCCTATGTGGGCTGCTACTGGACCCACTCCAAGACATTACTCAATCACATCTGTGAGAGAATTACTTAAAGAGTCTGTGTCCCAGTTGTGGCTAATCTCAATTTTTTGGAGAAGCAAAATACATTTCTTAGGTCAGCATTCAAATAAGCGTATTTCTCATTAGTCATTAAAAGCCACTGAGTATGAGATCACCAAAAGAATATTACTTAAAATAGAGAGGATTTTCTTTTGAGCATTATTCAGATTACGGGAAGCTGCTTTTAAATATTCTTCTGTATTCAGAATAGCCTAGACTTCAGCCCAACACTTTCTCAGTCGATGGACCCCTCCCTCCCTACGCAGGCACTTGGCCTTTCTTTCTCACTTGGGCAGATCAATTACAAGTGCACATCACACTGCTAGCTACCTTGCCAGAGAGCTCTCACAACCAGGAGGAGCAATTCAGCCTACAAGATATGTCCATTCTGTGTTCGTTTTCACCTGAGTGTTTGTATGGGTGCAACCACTCAACTATGGATAAGGTGGCAGGGAGAGCACTCATTCTGAAGCAGGAGACCAAACCCAGGTCTTGGAGTCAATGTGTTATCACAGGTGAGTTACCTAACGTCTTGACTTGTCTGCCTCCTCCATGCCTATTGCAGGGAAATGCAATGACTCTTTTGAAAATACTTGGAAATATTTTTGGGCAGTGGGATGGATATGTAACTGTAAGTGCAATAAAGTCCAACTCTAAGAGTAGACACTCTCCTGTTGTAGCTGGATAAGGAGATTCAGGCTCTGCACCATCTATCAGGGAGTGTATGGCAGTGCCCCCCCCTCCCCGATTAAAAGACTAACTTGGTGGTGCTACTATATGAGCTATGACAAAGGACACATCTACAGCATACCTGAAATCATCAGAAAAATAGCTGTTCTAGACAAGACTTCACATTCTAATGCAAAGTAGTGTGAGGGAGAGAGTACAGAAAGAAGATAAAGGCGGGCGAGACGTTTACTCAAGTTGGAGAAAAAGTGATATGCGGAAAAATAATGGGAGGAATTGTTTGCCTCTGTACCAGGAAGCTAGCTGCTAAACCCAATGTTGAAGCACCACGACATGAGATGACTATGATAACAATTACAATAAAAAATGAAAACAAAGAGGAAACGGGCAGCAAGATTAAGTGATTAGTGCAAATTTGGTGGAGCAGAGCTGGACCCAAAAGCCATCTTTTCAGCTACTACAAACACAGCCTCCATCATAAGCACTGGGAGAAGTCAAGGACCTTTCCAGTGACCAACCCTATGGTGGATATTATTTAACTGTCATGTGGCTCCATTCTGTCAGAGCAAGTGTGCAGATGCTGACTGATACAGCGCAACCTTCCTCGTAGGATAGCAGTTCTACAGGACAGTGGATGTGCTATGACTCGACAGGGTTAAAGAGCAAGTATAAAGAGATCTTTCAGCGCTGAGTGTCTCTGAGTTGTGCAGGCGACCTTCTGTTGCCAGCACTGCTTTCAGGACTTGTTTTGGAGTCTCTCTTGGGTCTGTGGTTGCCCTACAGATTTTGTTTAAAGATATTCCCATAATCTATACACTACACTTGATTAGAAGTTAACAAATGGAAGGATTGTGTGAGTTCACATGACAACTTTTCATGATCTAGACTTGCATGAAATATATAGAACACCAAGTTCCATCCATGCAAAGAACTGCACGTATGCAGAAAGAAACCACGTAAACAGTCTGAAGAATGAGAAACACCAAAAATCGTTGATGGGGTAAAGTGCAAAATCTTCGGCGATTACTCCAATGAAAGTTGACGTAACCGTTGCCACACGTTGTTCATGTTAACAGGGAGTGCATTGTTTTTGGAGAGATTCTCCCATCTTGACCAGAGGTCCTGAGCCACAATGCCCAGTGGCTGTCACATACCACAGAACACTTCTGGTCATCCACAGCATATCACATGTTTGCAATCCTGTGCTTCCATTCCAGACCCCGAGATGAAGGATATCACACAAAGGCTGTTTACACCTAAATATACTTACTCTTGCAATAACGCTTGCGGGGGGGACACTGAGTTCATTAAAGGGGGTGTCATTTCTTCAGGATAATAATCTGTCCTCTGTGGTTCGGTCCCAGGTTCTATTTTAATTTTTTTCTGTAATATAGGCTTCTCATATGATTCAATTACAGGTACTAAAAAAAACAAAACAAAAGTCATTCTACGTACAAGTTAACACTTTCAGCTTTTAAAAGATCACTACACAGCTCCTACTGACAACACTGATGAATATTTATTTGCTTATGGCAAGATTATACAGGGAATGACTGTTAAAGAGATTCTCCTTTCTCCCAACCAATACTGTGCCAACAGGCAGCAATTTAGGACCTAGACTTCTAAGACACAAATACCCTAATGATTCTTCCTTACAAATGTTGGCTATCTCTTTCAATCCCTCAGACACCAGTCAGTAAACAGGGTGGCTTTTAAAAGCTAGCAATTATCATCACAATCAAAAAGTATTTATTAAATGTCCTCTGTTCCCAGAATCATTCTGTATTCAATAAAGTAAAACTGAAGTACAGCTTCTTCCTATCCCTAAGTCGACAACTGTATAATATGGTAATCATCAGGGTATTCAACAGACAGCCTGATTTGTGGGAGTTCTTCCAATACTGACCCTTCAAAACAAAAACAAGGCAACGTTTTAGACAGACGATTTTCTCTGGAGAGCTCAAGGGCTTTGCATTTTGCTCTCCCACCCAGGCTGGGGCACGGAATGTTAAGGATGTTAAGGAAGTACAACAGCATGAAGCTGTGGTGTTTTTTTTTTTTTTTTTTTTTTTTTTTTACCTTGCATGCTGCTGCTTGAATTTTCCATTTCCTCTGACAAGGAGACCATGAGCGGCTGCTGGAGGTGGCTGGTGTACATAAAGGGGACAGGTTGCACCACGACTGGCTGGATGACGGGCAGGATGCCTGGGCTCCGGATTCCATGCCTTGAGAGGGCGGCTGCCATTACTGGGGGCATGGACAGCGGCATGCTGAAGGGCTGGACGCCTGGTGAGGAGGGTGAGTACTTTTTAATTGGCGGGCTAGAAGAAGGCATGCTCAGCCCCGGTGATGATCTCCGGTGTGAGGAGAACTTCAGGGAGGAGGGAGAACTCCCAGCCGAAGGAGGTGAGCCACGCTTGTTCACTGTGAGGTCCACTGGCTCCATCTGTATTCCGTGCGACAGGCCTTCTGGGGTCTGGAAGAACTTATCAGGCAACGGTGTGGAATAAATGACCCCATACTTGCTGGGCTTCATGGACTCCATGTAATTAGATGGGTAGGACTATTGGAAAAGAAAAAAAAAAGGAAACGTGTGAACAGTGAAATGAGAAGTATATGTGCTTGAGATATGAATTAAGATATAAATACCAAGGTGTTTTTGACTATATGGGCTTTGAAGAGTTGCTGAGATATATACTCGATCCTCCTCAAAAAAGGATAAGAGAAAGATGGTCTAGCAAGCATTGGAACTAATGTCAATGCAGTTACTGGGTCATATGGAAAATCTGAAATTTAATTCTAAGATTCCCACGTCTCATGTGAAGGTCAATACCTGGCAAGGTCCTAACACTGGTAATATCACAAGCCTTGTGGGCCTTTATTGCTGGGAGTTGGCTTCAGAGATCACCGAGAATCAGCCAAGCCACACTAACTTCATCACTTTTCTTATGGCAGGAAAAGCTCTCTAGCTTTGGCATCTCTAACCTGTGTTGGATACGTAACATTTCATACTTCTCACGACAGGTTTTTGTCTAGTGAGGAGAAATGTGATAGTTCTTTTTGATGGACTTCCAATGGTGAGCAATCCATGCCTAGGGTGGCCCATAATTCTAGTCTGTCTGGGGGTCTGCCCTGGGTTTAGCTCTTGAAGTCCCAGAAATCTCATCTCTGGCAAACCAGGATGGTCACTCACTCTCCTCACCTATGTACTCAAGGTCACCCTCCCTAGGGCAATTCTGTCCTTGAATCCAACTTTTATGATTTGGAGGTAATACCAGCTCATGACACAACCAAGAAAATGCACCACTGGGACCTTATAATTAAACAGCCTAAAAGCACTATTAATTAATTTCTTGGCTTCCCTGGCCCTTTCATGGCTACTGTGTACACCATAATAATTATGAGAGAACAGTGCTTCTGTCTTTACCTAGTTTTGATGTCAGTTTCTCACCCTTATGTTTTGTTTTTTTCTGCCATTTCTTTCTTTATCAAGATCATAATAATCTGTGTAACCTCCCAATACAAGTGATGCCCACAGTAAGGTGCACACCTCACTGGGGGCACCTACAATGCTTACAGCTGGGACATGAGGGAGGAACATGTATTGCTTTAAAATAGTTATGTGTTTACTTCAATGTGCAGGCAAGACAAGTTATACTTTGCACAGTCATGACATAAAGTTTCCTTTTACAATAAATTTATGTTAAAAAACTATAAAAGAAGTCATGAAAAATGGCTAACTGAAGTAAGTGCACATGTTCTAAGACTGCAACTTATCAAGGTGGTACTGATATTTGTTTCTTTTTTTTTTTTCTTCAGTACTAGGAATCAAACTCAGGACCTTGTGCTTGTAGGTGCAGCACAACTGCACTAAATCCCTTGCCCAAGGTAGTACTGAATACCCACCTCCTGGGAGGGTGTGAGGTAAAAGTTAAAATTGGATCTGATGAGATAACATCTATAATGAGCTTAAGGTAAGGCTCAGCACACCAGGAGGTAGAAGAGTCCCTTCCTGTCCCTTATACAAGAGCTGCACGCTATTATGGGCTGTCAGGCTCTAAATAAGCCTTCTCAAACTTTCATTTGCATTCAATTCCACATGGGCATCTGCTAAAAGTGCACACTTTGAACTACTAGGGATTTAGCCCAGTGTACCATAGACCACCATTAGAATATCAAGGCTCTAAATGACAGAGGTGTAGAATAAATTAATAAAGGTCAATTGAGAGAAAAGAATCCTAACCATTAATATAACTTAGAAATGGGCCAGAAGGAAATAAAATATATATAAATTTTTAGTACCAGCTTTGGGCTTTATGTTGAGGATTAAAGGGGAAACAGACGATTTCTACCTTACTTAGAACCAGGCACACAGAAGTACAACACAAAAAGTGAGAGGTCCAAAAATTATGGCAACATTAACATTAAATATTAGATATATTAAAATTTAAATATTAAAAGAGGCATTACTAAAAGAAGTATGAGGCTCATTAAAAATATTATAAATTATGTACTATGAAGGTTTCAGGAAGTAACTAAATATAAGAAAGAGAAAAATTTTTTAGTTGTAAAATTTAATGTGCTTCATGTAATTCTCCAAAGGGCAAAAGCTCTAGTACTAGCAAGTAACCTGAGGAAAGTGCAGGGAGCAGTTTCTCCTCACCAAAATAGGGCTTTATTTTCAGCCCTATTTTTCCAAGACCTCCCTATGACCTAGATTTTAAGGCCATACTTTTACCGCTGTCATCGCTGGATTTTTTTTTTGTCCATGGTACGAGTTTAAGGCCAGTAGGAATTTAGAACCTGGGGAACCTGCAAATTTTATATTGTTAAACTTCTCGTGCTATCAAGATAGAAAAAGCCACACATTAAAGTACATTTTACAAACAGAATACACAGTTTCTTTTAGAGTTTGCTCTCAAATGAACAGCCCCACCCCTACAATGACTGTGTTTATTCTGAAGTACCAGGCTAAGCACACGGAGACATATTTGGACAGATACCCAACCCCAAGTGTGTGTAATTAACTCTTTCCAGCCCAACTGCCTCACAAAAAGGTGAAGAAATAAGGTCTTCCAAACTGGCTCAGTGACACATTTTCTCACAGTGTTTATCAGAACCAGCTCTAAGGCTGGTTTATTTTAATTATTTGGGTGGAGCACTTAAACTACTCAATCAGCTGGTGACAATCTGGTTCGCCATAGTGTAAGGGCTGATGCTACGCTCCATCTGGGTGTGCCTCGGGCAGACACGCCGGCTAACAGAGCTTGCTGTGGTTCCAGTCCATCCCTATCTTCTAGCCAAGCAATGCAAATAGGCGTGGCTGCACTGGACCCAAATCCAAATGGAGGCAAGTGTTAATGAAGCAGAACATCTGTGTGTCATTTGTCGGTGGTCACGGAGGACACCCAGTGTCCCCGTGTTCCAGAACACAACAGCCCAAAGACAAGACAAGCAAGGGGCCACACCCTCCCTGCCAACAGCCCCATCACAGGAGACCAGTCTATGTCCCTAAACTGTCTGTTCCTAGGGCCAGTGCCTTCCTCCAGCGGTGACAGGCATTCGGATGTGCACACCTCTGGTGGGGATTTATTTGCTGAGAGATGTCTCTCCCTGGCCTGTGGAGGAGGCTCACTGGCTGCAGCCTGCAGATACTAACTCGCTGTCTTACAGGTCTTCACTCCTCACAAAGCTAAGGACAGTGCCAATACAGCAATTCTTCCAAATCTTAAAAAACGATGGGGCAAAGGTCAAAAGTTTGGGTAATTTCTTAAGTGTGCAGCTATCACTTTATACTAAAGTGAGGATTTCTATAGTTTCTTATTTCACTGGGAAGGGTTCTGGTGAGTTTTCCATTTCAGGGTAACTGAAGAGGGCTGGGCAACCGAATGAAACAGGGATGTCTCCATTTTACTACTGGTTAATATGACAACAGGGAGCATCCATGACAGGCGACACAGAGGAATCCTCAGGCCAAGGGTGGGGCTGGAACACAGGAAAGCGTGGCACACACTCTGGAGAGCAATGTCCTGCACCTCTGGGTAACCGAAAGTAGAAGTCTCCTTTCAAAAGCTGCCAGAAGATTCTGTTAGGATGGAACAGGGCAAACCAAACCATTCAGGACCTCTCAATGCACAAGGAATCCAACTAGATGAGCATATTCAATAAAAAGAAAAAAAGAAAGAGAAGAACGTGCTTTCTTAAAAAGTAACCTTCCCACAGGAACAGAGGAAGAAAAGATTAGTTTTAAAAGTCTGAGCAGTTTCTACTTTATTTTTTTACAAATTATTTTCTTCCTGACTTCCCAAATCAAATTCTATTTCAACCCTTTGAGAAGTGGTAAAAACAATTTCTTTGCATGTGCATTTTGTATATATATGCTATTTCATATTTTACAGACTTAAAAATGTAAGACTCAGGGCACTACTGGTGATTCTGCTAACACCAGGTACGAGCATAAGTAGCAGAGACGTAGGGCACAGGCCTTCTGTGCCTCACTGTAAAAAAGTTTCAGAGCACAAGGTTGAGCAGAGGACACTCTGAGAGCGTATGTTCTGGTAAGAGCGAAATGACACTTCCTCTAAGCCATGTAAAACACCAAATAAGCGACTGCTTCTGTTGGGTTCTCCTTTTAATGGGGTGGTGTGGTGGTGGTGGTACTATATGCTATTTTTATTCATGTGAGATTAAAAAAAAAAAACTTACAAATGTCCCATGCTGCCTTAATGTTTACAACGTATACTTAAACAGTCAAAGACTTTGACCTTTAGGTCAGGCTGAACTGAAAAAAGGCGGGGGGGGGGCAATAAATTAGATTTAAGAAAGCAGGGAAGACAGAATTTAAGGATTTACGAGTGGAAGCCAAAGCTTTCTATTTAATTTTCTTTTTATTTTTTATTTAATTTTAAAAGTAACAAACTCTGTATTTCTCAAATGTTTCAATTAATGGGGATTTTGCTGAGTTAAACCCCTTCATTGTAGGACTGACATTAACTTTTGGTGAAACTATCTAATTAAATTCTTTAAGTGTCAGCTGAAGCTGAAAACTGGTACATGAAGGAGAAAAAGATCATTAATTGCAAAAATATGTATATACATATTTTAACTTCATGTATTAATACGAGTTACAACATTGCCAGTTTAAGTTACTTGCAATTCATTTTATTTCCCCCTTTTTCAGTTAAGTGCATTTCCTTGTGCTTAATTATTTTGTACCAATTTAGCAATGCGGATCTTCATTTTAGCTTGAAATTAGGCTCTTGAGCCATATCTTCATGCTTGATTAAAAGCACTGGAAGTACACCAAAGAGTAAAATGCATCACTGAGGGTTCTGCATCATTTATAAAATTAATCATATCCTTCAGTAGTAAAACCTATTCACATTTCAAGGATATAATTAATGGGGAAGTTTTTTACTTTAATTTTTCTCTAAGATGATCATGTAATAGTTGGGGGGAAAGGGGTTGACAAATGACAGTGCTGAATACCATAAGAAATAAATGTAGTCTTTTGATTAATAAGATTTTCATTGCTCAGTTGTTAAATTCAGACGTGCGGTTATCTGGTTATCATGTTGCAAATATTATTTCCTTAAAGATGTTCTGACTTAACTTTTTATTTCAGACACTGGTAAATACTTTGCTGCCTTCCTAATACCCATGGCAACGCAGTTCCAAGGGCCTCAGAATGACCCCCATGTCTTGTATAAACATTTTTGGCAGGAATCTCACAGCCAGTGCATCAGGATGATCTAATTTTGCAAGCGTTTCATTACCAACCTTCAGATACGGAATGTAAGCCAAGTTTTCCCCCTTGTGCATATTTTCCAAGCCCGTGGAAGAAAAGAGCAAGGGAGTAGAAGCCTTGCCTTGTTGTTCGGTATTCACTATGCCCAATCCCCTTAATCTAAACCACCCCTGCTTTGAAATCAGACACCTCTGTGTTACCCGTGCATCAACACCATGAGGAGAGCCTTGTACCTACAGAAACACCTGGACTCATTACTGGATCCCTGGTAGCCTGACAATGCCTCGGTGCCAGCTCACAGAGGGACTGGCTGAGCACTGAGTGTTGAAGGGTAATGCCAGTTCCCTCCCAGCCACATTCACCCCAGCGAAACTTTCCAGGAAGTGATTCTGTCCCCACAGCACAGTTCTTTCTCTTGCAGTTTTCTCCTCAGTCACCTTTCATACAGCCTCAGCACCACAACTATTGTCCACAGTTGTTAAAGCAAGTCACTTCATTGTGAAATATTTTTACATACCAAAGCTGAATTTTTATAAACCTACTACTGTCAGGACCAGGGGTTTACTTGGGCCTAAGTTGCATGTTGAGGGACTTCATATCTGGAGGGTGTGGGGTACAGGTCTTAAGAAAGCACAGATCCCAGTTATTAAAGCATACACAGCTTTAGGAGGGAACACACCTTACTGGTTACTGGGGCTTCACTGGGAAACTGCATGCTGAATGCCTGTCAAGTAATGAGCAACTCTAGGGTATAACACAAAACACAATGCTGTCATCACTCAGAATAAATAAGGAGAAGGTTTCAGTTGTGGAAAACTTACCACCGAGACAGGGTCCATGGCCTCTTGCTTGACAGGGACTGGGTCAAACATGAGCATTCTTTTAGTTAAACCTTCTAGGGTGTTCTGGTGTTCGGCCTAGAAAACAAAACAAGGTGTCCATCTAAATCCTGAGGTCACTTTAGATATGAGGTAGTAAGAACATTTGTTTATTTTTTGTTTTCTGAGACAGGGTCTAAGTATTCCAGGTTGGCCTTGAGCTGTGATCTTCCTGCATCAGCATCCCAGAGCCGAGATTACAAGTGCCTGGCTTTAACCTAGTAAAAATAAAATACACTCCTTCTCACCCCCAGAATGGCTGCAATTGTTTCTCTTACCTATGAAAGATGTCATTTTATATAATTAAAACCACACTTGATGGTCGGTCACAATCAGATGAAAGCCAACTGGTATTTCTAACTCAAATGCATAAACCCTGATTTTTTTTTGAACAATATATACAGCTCTGAGAAGCAGGCTTGCTGTGCAGTTCAGCAGTTTACATTATACACGATTGTTAAACACTCTCCTTCCTCTTTCCCCTTACGTACATCACAGAAAAGTTAAAGGGAAAAAAAAGACAAGCAAAAAGAAAACTTAAGAGCCAACTGTTATTAATACCTTTCCTTGTAATCCCACCAAAACCTTCTAAGTGGGTGCATACCATCAAAATCAATGCATTGCTGTATGAACCGATCAGTTTAACATCACTTTTTACTGAACACTTGGGCTGCTTCTAAATTTTGACCATCACAAAGGGCAATGAGCCTCTTTACTTTTGCATCCTCCTGCCCATCCTTCCTTTATCTCTAAGATAAACTTTCTGAAGGAGAACTCTAGTGTGAGAAGCCCGTTAAACATAAAACATTTTACTGGTTACAAAATGACATTATTTTTTATTCTAAGTTGACTTAATTACTGAAGTTGAATTCTTTTCCCTTACCGCCAACTCCATTTACACGTCTTTGGAAAATGCCAATTTAGGTCTTGACCTCTCCCATGATACTTTTTTGTTTTCTAAACACTTTTAATATACAAAGAATTTCTAGATTGACCTCTATTTGAAAAATCAGCAGAAGTACCAGGTTTTGGGTTACTTCCTATATTTCAGTATTAAAACTCCTCCCATCTCCACAGCAGCAATCCTGTAGCTGGTTTTGTCTGTGCTCTATGGATGGTTACACTAAGGCATCTTCCCATACAATTACAGAAGCAATACCCCACGGTTCTCACGCCTTACTGCTTGGCTGAGTCTCATGACAACACGTGAATTTCATCCACATCTCAACGTAAGGCTCTGAATTTAAAATTGCATTTTCCTACATCACAGCATGCATTATTATCTGCTAATACAATGGGACACCACGCTGCTGAAATCTATGGTGCTACTACCCTCTTATGTAACAAACTAGCCAGTGAAAAATGGATGATTTCATAACGAAGGATGAAAACCCTTTTTTGTCTCGGGATCTGTTATTAACCAGACCCAGCCTAGCAGCTGTACAGATGGTCACGACTCCCAGAACTGTTGTCCATGCCCCACACTGGCCCATAAACGAGAGGTGGGATCTCCTGCTTACATCACTAAGATCTGGAGCAACCCCACCCTTGGATGGTTAGGCTGCAGCCTCCCACCAATACCTCCCATACATTGAATTAGGTCCTACAGAGGCATCTATTCCATTAGATTGTTTATGGATGCAAATCCTTCCATGTAAGGGCACTCATTCTCAGATGTGAAAGAGCCCTTTGCTAACACACCTAGCTTTAAATTTCAATTCCTTCACTCTTAAATTAAAACCTGGATAAAATTCAGTTCAAAAGTTAACAGCAGCCCGCACCCTGTATGACAGCCTGGAAAAACCTGTCACCTTGCAGGTGTATTAGAAGAGCTTTGAGCCGCGCAAGCATCTCCACACAGGGTACCTCGGACTCCTGGCCACCAGAAACTGCAGCACAGAATAAATTAAAATGACGGATGCCGGAGTTCTTTGGGTTCAAATTCTAACTCTACCTTGCAGCTCAAATAGGCCTTAATGACTCTGTCTAATGGCAATGATTATTGTCTATGGCAATGACTATTGAATCCACTTAGAAATGAATTACACATTGACCTGTTGTATCTTTCATCACTAAGTCATTATTTAAATCACTACTGTCCTTTAATTTTTCCATTTTCTCTAAATTTAAGGAAACTGGTGCTTTAAGACTTATAAAACTAAGATAAATATAAAATCTAATGTAAACCACTGTTCCTAACAAAACCTAGTTTGCTTTTATTATGGACTATAAAGGCATGTTTATTCATTCAGAACTGTACTTCAAAGTAATTCAAATACTGATGAAGGAATTTTTCTCACGATAGAACTATTTCAGCTAATAAATGAAGGAGGAATGATGAAATTAGAACACCTCGTTTTGAACCTCCTAGCTAAATAAGGCATCACTGAATAAAAAAATCTGTGCAAAATTCAAGTATCACAAGAACAGAACCAAATTCTCCATCCATCTACATGTTAACAGCACTTTGTTAATCTGGTAGCTTTAACAACTTAAATTACATACTTTTGGTGACAGTCACAGGACATGAGACACAAAAAGATGAATGTCTGAAATGATATATCTTAAACTATTAACAAAAACTTCTTGGGAGTGGGAGGGAGGCAGCTTTATATACTTATGTGGCAATTTTAATTCTATAATTAAAACTATTAAAAGCAATAGAGGGAAACTAAGGAAGGTACCAAAGAAGAGAATGAAACACATTAATATATAACAGGGCTTTGCTTATTTATTTGTAAAAAATTTCTACACTTTGTATCAACTACTTTTGCCATTGGTTTAGACTGAGCTCTGGTCTAGAACCAGAAGTCAGACTGCAAGGTCTTTAGATTGCTTTCCACACAAATGAGAAGTAACAAGTACTAGAAGAATGTGGGTTTCTAAACTTGGTGGCCTTTGTTACCCCTGGGCAACTTAGTGCTCTGAGATACTATAATTTTTAATTAAAACTACACTGGCAGCAATCTTAACTATCACCAGTAGGTGGTGCACTGCAATAAGTCTTAGCGCCCAGGATGCTGGCAATAGAATTTATCAACTTCAGGGTCTTTAAACCTGTCTTTTAACTAAACTGAGGAATCACTTTATGTGGATATCAGAAATGAGGAAGCCTCAAATGTGGTTCTCCTTTTCCTTACTATTTTCCAGTCATGAATGCATTTACATCTTATATTTAACCATCTTAGCAGAAATCAATAAATTAAGTAATCCCAGGATAACTGCACTGCATTAAAAAAAAAAAAAAAAAGAAGCCAAGACTTAACAAAAAACAACTTCTAAGTTACTGAGATGTTTAAAAACAAAAATATAGGAATGTTACCATTTCAAAACATTGTTCCATAATTGGAGCAACTATGTTATTTTGCTGGGAAGGACTCATAAAATTGAATGTTTAAAAAAAAAAAGGAAGAAAAAAAATGGCAAGCCTGTAATCCTACCACACTGAGGTAGGAGGATGGCACATTCCAACACAGTGAAAAGATCCTGGGTTCAGTCCCCAGCACTGCAAAAACAAAACAAAAAAGAAGAAATGGACTTCCCCCTTCATGTTCTTTCCACTTATACTTTTCAGATATCAAAATAAGGGTTAGATTTCTGAAAATGCAAAGCCACGATTATGTATTAAAACCTTGGCGAATCATTTACACAGCACTCAGGCAGTATAGCTCTGCTTCAAAGTCCTACACCCAGTAGTCTGTGAGGCCTACAGGACAACCAGTCCGTGAGAAATATGCAATGCTGTACAAGAGGGGTTCTGATGTCACCAAGCCTCCTTGGAAAGCAGCTTGTCTAGAAAGCGGCTCACTACAGAAACACCCTTAGGGAGGACTGCCCCTTCCTCAGAAGTCCAGGGAGAGCAGAAGGAGGGTGTGCAGGAGGCAGCTTTCCCTGTTTCTTGGGGAACAAAGCAAGGCTTGCCTGACATTCTCCCTTTTTATTTCCCTTTCTTTCCTCACCTCCACACAGGGTTCCTGCATTATCCTCCCCAACCCAACCTGACCCCAAGGCTCCCAATTACCTGCTTCCTTCAAAGAAAACCTTTGTTTCCTAGCGGACTTCTGCCAGGTATATACGAAACACTTCCTTTAAACCAACGCCATCTGTGAGTGCTCTTGCACTCTCCCTCCTGAGAGGTTGGATTTTTAAAGGGGGAAGCAAGCATGCTGGCTCCCCCATTCTCTACTCCCCTAGAACTTCTGGGGGAGACCTGGGTGTGTGCTCCCCCGTAAGCAAGCTCTTGTGTTTCTTGGCCAGGAAGGCCAGGCAGGCAAGCAAACATCACCGTGGCTACACTTCCCTTCCTGAGAAACTTTTCTTCTCTCTTCTTTACCCAGACTCTTCAAAAGCTCCAGATGGGTCCAGTCATATGTAATGGCAACTGCCCTTCCTCAAAACACAGGCAAAGGCAACATCTGAGAGTAGCTGGAGACTTCATTAAGAAAAGCTAAATGTGGGCACCTACCTGGAAACGGGTCCTGTTTTCATACCACCCAAGGGCTTCACCTGCCTCAGTCTTCTATGGTTGGTTTGAAAGGAAATAAACTCCACGAGGTATTTCCAAATCTTTGGCCCTCATAAATTAGTTATTTTGCATTAAATGTGTTTTGCAAATGGGAGAAGTTAATTATTTCGTTTCAGATGAAATATAATGATCCAGTGAGCAAACAACCCGCCCTCTCTCCTCTCTCTGCGAACAAGCCACCCAATTTTACTTTCCAGCCTCCACCCATCTGCTCCACCCCATGGAGAGTTGCCAAGGCGAGTCCAACTTGTCCAAACAGGACATGGCTTCAGATAAGACTCTGCCCACACCCTGTACTTCGAAAAGACCCAGTGAAGCAATTGATTTTGTACGTAAATAAGGACAGGTGCAAAGGTAACAAGCAAGCAAAATCCTTCACATTTCCAGACTGGGGCCCAGCAGAGCAGACGTGGGGGTTTGGAAATCCAAACCGTACTCACTTTAGGTCAGTTCTCAAGTTCAAGGGCACCTGGTTGGTAGCCTTCCACACCCTTCTTAAAGAAATTTCAGCAAACTCGAATCATTTTGCCTACTAGAGTTACATGCTTGTTTTCTTCCTTTATGCTCTCTGACAATTTTGTGTTTTCATTTTAAGGGCAAGCAACCTAAAATAAATTGAAAAATACCCACAACCTCTAATCCTGCTGTGTACCCAGCTCACAAGGCCTTGCCTAAGCCCTAACAGCGCTCCTTGCGCGTTGTTATATAATCAAATCCAGAAGGGCTGCGTGAGGCCACAGGGCCTCTCATCAGCCCGCCTCGCCCAGTGCCCTCCCTATCGCTGCAGACCCACCCCACTCCACCCTGCGCGGCCTCCACCCACGGCCCCACCCTGGAGGGAGTGGGAGGCTGGGAGGGGCTGGCTCTGGGGCAGCAGCCAGTTCCTGGAAATTCCGGCCTGAACAAGGACAGCAGGAACCTTAAACATAATCAGAAAGAACTGTCAGAATGGTACTAATTCCCTCTGCTCCCGAGGATCCTCCATTAAAGTTTAGTCCAGTGAGCCACACATTGATCCTTTGAGTATAAAAGCAAGAGCTAATACTGTTCTCTCCCTTCAAAAGTAAACACAACAGGAAAAGCAAAGCATCTGGAACCAGGGCTCTTCAGCACTGTGAATCCAAGCCCTCCAGCCCTCCGCCTCTAGAGGCTGCCCTCTCCCCACCTCCTGGTGCCTTATTTTCTGGCCACTCTCCATGGAAACCTAAGGTCATCCGTGAAGCTTCCTCTGCCCTTCTACCCTCCAGGCCTCGCCACTGTCCTGGGAGTTTCTCTGCATTGGTCTCCCCCACCTCCACCCTTTGCCACTGCAACGGCTCCACCCCTTCACCACCTACAGTTTTTAGCAATTTTCTTAACTCAGGAGCTCACACAACCTCCTTCAGGAGGGTCCCACGGCTGACAGGGTGTCAGGGCTCATATCTATACCCTTTCTAACTAGATTCCGTGCCAACAAGTGCCCCTCAGTTCAGGCTGCCCTGCCTTCTCCCTCCCCACCCCACCCCACCCCTTTGTTCATTTCTGGCCCTGATGCTGGGCAACCAGGGTGGAATGCCCCCCTCCCCTTCCGGCTTATCTCAATCCTCCTAATTCTTCAAAGCCTAGCTCAAGGCCCGTCCCACCCGCGTGGCCAGCTAACCGCTCCCTGGATACACTGGCCTCATTTCCCCAAGGACACACCCTGGACCCCCTCCAGGAGCAGGAGCACTTGGAGGTCTGCAGGTGCCCCATCCCTTAGAGGATTCCCTCCCTGCTTCCAAGGAGATGGGCTTGCTGGAGAGGACAGGGTGAGGGGCTGACGCCGAAGACACAGCCCTAGGCAGTAGTAGGAGTGGTGGTTATCTCCCTTCCCATGCACCTCCAAGCTTCCTCAAGTAACTAATGGGGGTGACAAAGGGCCTAGCCTCATAGGAGCCTAGTGAACCAAACTTTCTTAAACAAATTACTAGCCTAGTGTGGTGTTCCATGCCTATATTCCCAGAACTCTGGGATGCTGAGGCAGGAGGATCAAACTTAGACCCTGTCTCAGAAAACTGTAAAAAGTGCAAAGGCCCTGGGTTCAACACCCACTAATAGAAACAACAACAAAAAAATCCCCACGACAACCCCCCCAAAAAAACACCACCACTACTAAAACCCGTTATTGCCCCTAACCTTACCCTTGCCATAGCTCTCCACTGTCCTTACCAATATCATCCTCAAAAACCACTTTATTATCCACCTAGCAAGACTGGCATCAGTCTCTAGATTGTCTTAAAATCTAAAATAAAAAAAAAAAAAAAGATAAGGGACAGGGGGAAGAGAAGGAGGCAGCAACTGTAGGGAAGGGTACGTGCAGAAGGGGACACAAGGCTTTTCACAAAAGGATGCTCCTGTTGACCACACAAAGCAAGGGCTGAGTGACGTCATACTTCCCCCGACTGATCACCCACCACCGGCAGGACCCATAAGCCTAGGTGCTGTTTCTCACATAGACTGTGCTATTTAGTGCCTCAGAGATGTCACCGCCTTCCCATCTGACTGGTGAGAAGACTGAAACAGAGGGGTAAAGTAACCTGCCAAGACCACACAGCAGCTCATGTGGAGTCAAGATTTGAAACCAAGGTCATCATTTAACTTCAATGCTGGCACTCTGAGGCCTTCACATTCCACCTCCTTGGCACAGGACAGCAGTACAAACAGTGGGATGTGCCTTCTGCTGACAAACTGGTCCTTGGGGAGTATGGAACTTGGGGACAAGAGCAGTGACTTTAACTCCTCCCAAATGGACCCCCCTGCCTGCCCTCTCCCTGCGAGCAAGGCTGGACACACGATCAAAGGACAGACTCGGAAGGTCCCAAATTAGGCGACTATACTTCCTCGCCAATGCACCTGCAACTGGTCCATAAAAGTGCTGAAAAAATTGGCAGCTTTAGTCAAGTAAATACGGAAATCCTCATAATAACTGTACAAAGGTGGAAGGGTCAGGTCCTCATCCCCATTTTAGAAATGAGGAAATGGAAGAACAGAGGTGAAATGACTTGCCCAAATTCGCAGAGCTGGCTGGTGCTGCAGTGAGGAACAGAAGCGTGCCTGCTTACAGGCCAGGGCTCTTTCTGTTCTGCTTCGGGCCGCTGTGCTGGGACCCGCTTTGGGGTGAAACCATCTCATCTGGGGTCACTGCCCAGCATTAGGGTGTGAACGTGCACGCTGGTCTATGCTAAGTAGTGCCACAGGGAGGTGGTGCCAATGGGCAATTAAGATTTCAAAGTGCCTTTTCAGGTTTGATCACTCACTGCAGACCTACTCCATCCTGTGGCATAACTCAAAATAATGATCACATGTAATTTAAGATTAGCGTTAATGAGTAGGTGCTCAATAAATACTTGGGAGATGAATAAATGAATGGATGTCAAACTACACTTCTCACATGTGAGGTGAGAATAATATGAAGGGCAAAGGACCTGTAACGACTGAATACCAGGTACGCCCTGTGGAAAATCTGTCCAGGGGTTTGTGAAGCCAGCCTGAAAAAATTGTCTTCTAAACTGCAAAGTAAATGGAAAAACTTAAGAGAGGCTTGGGCCAGAACGGCTCCCTTGTTTGCAGAACTAAGGAGAACAGGAACTTGATCTTACTAATGAAAGCAGTTTTCGGTGCAAAGCTTTGGAAGGTACCAGGGTGTAAAGTGAAAGAACAGATAAAGGAGAGGATTGCAGTGATTAGACTCAGAGAACAGCAGTAGTAGAAAGAATGGCACAGAGGCCAGATGAGTAAGGCCCGCAACTGGATTCCCAGGTCAGTCGCTCTGCGGGGTAGAATCACAGACCTGTACCCGACACCTACTCCACCTGTCTCCGGTCTTGCCCAGCCCAGCTCTGTGGATCTGGGCTGACAGCAGCCCTGGACCATCGCCGGTGAGATCCTGAAACCTTCCAGAGACTGGTGACTACTGAGCATGTCCCAGACAAAAATGGGCTCTTTAGGAAGCTCAGGGAAGGGCACTGCCTCAGGAGACAGACACCCCCTTCCCAAGAAATCAGGGCAAGAGCTAGCTGAGAAGTTCCAGAACGCGCCTGAGTGACACAACTTGCTGCTGCTGGTCTCCAGCCACCACCACCCCCAACCAGCTAGGGAGATGAGAATGTATTCAGCCTGCTAACACAATGCACTGAGTTTCAAAAACCTCCAGGGAACCCGTTTAGCTAAAGAACTTTACTACAAACATTCTGACCAAGGGACACAGAACCTATAGATAATTTCTTTTAATGTTCCAGTGAAGACTGGTTACATTCCAGAATGCAGGACCCGTTAAAAGGCACATAGACATACTTTTTTTTTTTCTTTGAGAGAAAACACTTCCAGCTCTGGTTCAGAAAATGGGCCTACAGCAAGGTGTCTCTATTATTATTACCAAATTTCAAGGAAGAAGAGTTTGGGGTGGGGGAGCAGGGCTGCCTGCTTTACACAATACTCTCTCTTATCAAGGCTGACCGCTGTCTGGTTTCCAGTCTCGAGCTCCGGGAAGATGGCTGAAGATGAGAAGCAGGGCATGGGTTTCGGAGAGGGACAGACCAGGCTTGAAAATGAGAATGCTAAAGACCATCACGATCCTCTTCAACACACTCTGAGAGGCATCCCAACTAGAATATCACCTATTAGCAAACTACATAGCAATTGTTGTTTTAAGACCCTAGTGATTTTTTAAAACTAAAATATCAGAACCAATGATCAATGAAATACTTCAGGATGAAACTTGATTTCCAGAAGAATGTTAATTCCTCCTTTTCAAAGGATGCGGTTGCATATATTTATTTTCCTTAAATAAATGGTGTGAAAAGAGCTAGCTAGAAATTTGTCTATGAAAGTTACCGTTTTACAGCAAGCGTATGGATTTCAAAATATTAAGAAAGTCAATTATCTAAATGAGGACAGAAACTCGATAAAGCTGAATGGTAATTATGGTAACTACCAGACAATGTAATTTTCCTCAAGCTTTTAAAACCATTTAAAAGCTTGTGAGGTCCTTCTGTTGTTATGGTTGTTGTATCTCACCCATACTGCCCAGGCTGGTCTTGAACTTGTAGGTTCAAGTGATCCTCCTGCCTCAGCTTCCTGGTGTAGGTGGGAGTACATATACACATCACCTTGCCCAACTTTGCAAAAATTTTCTGGACTGAATA